CTGTAAATGCACAAGTCAGAGGCGATCTCAAACCTGTGGGACAGTGCAACCGGCCAAATGGAAGACACTGGAAATCCATACCTAGATAGAATTATACAGCAAAGATTGACTGTGGTTTCTGGGAGCTACTGGACATTCAGAGGGAAGGCAAGACGATTAGTTAACCAAATGACGAGTCCTTTCAGTATGGACACGTTTCGTCGCCTGTTGAGTAGGGAAGCGGAAGTAATATGGGTCGAATCTTTATACCCAGATGACTTGTGACATCGGCAAGCGGGGCACCCATTGGCTCGCCGATATACGACGACTTCGTCGCAGGCCGGGATAGTATTTGGTTCAGACTTCTTTGGTTGTACCATCAATGCAAGAGTCCTTTTCAGGGCTAGTTGGTGGAGAGCAATGCTAATTTCTTTTATGTGGCACATATAACATAGTCACAGTTATAAACAAAAGCTCCCCATTTGGTTATGCTGGTTGAAGTGACGATTTTTTTGTCTTCGCAGCGCCACTTGTACATACACTTGTAACTGCTGCCTGCGAAACCGCGCTAAAATTACATTTGATCTGATCCTAGTCACGTGATGCGTTTGTGTGTGTGTGTGTGTGCACGCGCGCTCCCGCGAGCAGGCGCTTGAATTGGAAAGGGGCGCCGATGCAAAGAAAACATTGGTGGCTGGCGCTTTGCCCCGTTATAAATTTTTAGAGGCGCTAGGGTGGCCTCTGGTGTCTTACACCTTGCAGGTGCGCAATAATAATAACTCTTATATTAATGTTAACATATTGAACTCAATAACGGTGCTATATAACTACCAAATATGGCCACCGCAGTGGTAATTATTCCCCCAGCCACCCTCCTTCCTCAGTCTTGTTATCCGTAGAAATAACACCTCAAAAGTGAGAATTAAACAGGAGCTAACTGTTACTGTAAGTACCCCTTCTTAGAGAGGTGTAGATAGGGGGTCGTGAGTCTTAAGGATTTAGAGCCGCATAACTAGTGCTGTCGCCACGGACTGTGCAGGAAGTCTCAGAAAACCCTATATACCAGAGATCTTTTGCGGCACTACTTTGGTTATAATATAATCTGCAATTCACTGTTGGTGGGTTGAACATTTCCTAGATTAACTTAAAACTAATTTGTAAAATACATTATTTTTCGGCTAGCATCTAACCGGGGTCAGTTTTTGACATCCTAGAGTGGACGTTTTGTTGAACTAGTCTCATTGTACAAGTGTGACCTTCTAGGATTTTTGAAAACACCGTGACTGACCCAGCATACCTATATTGGCTTACTTAGCAAGAAGAAGAAGAAAAAATACATTTTTCCCCGCCAGGATTGCAGTATGTACGATTAACATCTTAAGAATGAGAATTAAACTATTAGTTTATGTTTTTTTTTTTAAATTCAACTGATCAACATCATTTCACAAGGGTGTAAATCCTAAGTGCTCCGTTCTTTTTCTAACCCAAGTCCGAAAACTCAAAATTTTGCCCGGCAGCGCCGTTAGGCTATTTTTTTTCGATTTTCAACTGCCAAGGGAATTTTTACTTGCGTGCGATCTCACTACCTAGAGACCAGGGGGAATTACTACAAGTCCAAGTCCACGTGAAAAAAAAAAAAAAAAAAAGAAATCCAGCTCTCACCGGGGATTTGAACCCGAAACCTCCAGCACTCGAGGCGGACACTATGTGTCGAGACCATGCAGCCCCATTTAAAGAAATTAAGAAAACCCCGTTCATCCCTATAGTCATCTAGGACAGTTATACAGGCGAACCACAAATCGCTTACGATGTAACCTTTAGACCAGTGTGGCTAACGTCGATACAAGAGTATACCTTAAAACTCTCTCCGTCCTTTAGAGCACGTAACATAATTTAACTGGTGCTTGATTACGTACGTTCAACGGGTTGCACGCTAGAAATGGCTAACTAGAAATTATTACATCAGTGATTTTCTGATGGCGTAGCTGTTATTCAGCAACGCAACAATTTTGACGTCTGTGGTTGAGTTTCTGTCAGTAATTAGCTCAGTGACTTCACGAAAGATACTCAAGTCCCGAGAAATGTAAATGCAGTGTTTTCATGAATATTCCTGTAATTGCATACATTTCATAGACTGAATTTACAGTTATGTAAGTTAGCAATTTTACGCGTTTTTAACGTAGATGTATTCCCAAAATGGAGGGAGAGGAAAAGGGTTGTGACTCTAGAGTATGGAACTAGATTTTCATCGTGATCGGCATTGTGGGGGTGTCAAATGTTACAGTTCAAGTGGATGATAACAAAGTGCAATGACAGTTAACGCCCGTTACGGCAAATTATATTACAGATCATACATGTCTGCATTAGTTGTGTGAGGATAGAGTAGGAAGGAGGGGGAGGTAGAGGAAAGCATACAGTTGGTAGTAGACGAAAAACATGATTGGTGGTGGTGGGAATTTCCGTTGGCTTGGGGAAACACTTTGAATGTGACAGTGAAAGTGTCACAATTGACTGACATTACATTTTCAATGTGACAATTACTAGATAAACGGTCGACTTTCTGCACCTAGGTTGTCAGACAGGCAAGTATTATTGCGTATACTTCTCTGTGATTTATTTTTGTAACAATGAAAAGTCAATCGTTTCGCAACCTGAAGGGATGGATGGAAATCAAATAGGATGGATTAGATCAAAATACATGTGATAACGTCTTGACCCTTGATCATACATGCTAGGTTCCCCCGCTGACCTCCGACATACGAAAACTTCTATAAATAAGTAGCCATGATAACAGACCATTCGTTGCTAGCGGCCCTCCCAGTCAGCGAGGACACCTGTGTTCGTGTATGTCTCTCTGTTTCTGACTGCAGGTACATTCTAGTTTTGAACAGAGTTTACGATGCTTACAAAACCATAAGCACACACATAAACAAACACACAAACACCCACCCACACACACACACACACTCACACACACATACATACATACACATATACACAAATACATTCGTTCGTATCTACCAAACATTTGTACCAACAAAACTACACACGTACATGTGTAGCACAAATTTACAAAATTTGACATTCGCAAAGCCATCTGACTTTTCCATTATGGCTGATCATAATTCATCTCGATCTTAGTTTTTTTTAAATAAATTAATGAACTGCCATATCCACCTCTCCCCTCCCCCTTTCCTTACACATAAAAACCAGTAATCCTAACGGCTGCAATAATTTTAGTAGAATCACAAATTTTTTGTTATATCAAAAACATTTTGCAGTGTAATCCTGAACATAATTAAAGAGGTAGTTGATACAGTCACGAGAGAAGAAGAAGCTGATTTCAGAACAGGAAGAACTTGTCTATTACCTTGAGACTTATTCTAGAAGGGCACAGTGAGAGGCAACATCCTCTCATCCTGAGTTCTATTGATTCAAAGAAGGCCTTCGACAGCTTATGTTGAAATTCATTATGATACATTTTTTTTCCTGACTGCAATGGCAATACTGGCATTGATTGTCTGGCTAACAGACAACTGGAAGATCTGGATTTCGCAGATGATTTTGTTCTGTTCAGTAAAATAACAAAGACATGCACAGAAAAACAGACAATTTGTCGTCTACAGCATCTAGAAATAGGTTATCAAAAAACAAATATATTAAAGACACTCTCCTTCTCCCGCCGCACCCCTCCCACCCCACCCCACCCCTTATGTCTGAAAAACATTTAGATGTGTCAGAGGTGTGGTGTCTGAGAAGAACGCAAAGACTATCACAGACACATAGCTAAACAAACGGAGCAGTCCTGATTGAGATGAATGAAAGTCCTAAACTTAATAGAACAGTAATCAACTCCTTTATTCTCCCAGAAAAATAAGAAGTTAGACTCATTATGACAAGGAATGGAATCGAGTATTTGGTAACAAAGGACAAGATTGGTGGAAAGAGATCAAGAGGAAGGCAAAAAGAAAACTATCTAGATGACGTAGACAGATGGAGAGAGAGAGAGAGAGAGAGAGAGAGAGAGAGAGAGAGAGAGAGAGGGGGGGGGGGAAGAGAGAGGAGAGAGAGAAAGAGAGAGACAAAATATGGAACTGATCTCTGGTTCTGTTGATCGTGTAAGATGGTGAAACATGGCAGCCTACGCTCACCGGTACGACACATGATGATGAAGATACTAATTATGATTATGATGCTATTTCTTTTTAAAATGTATAAGAGTGTAAAATTTTCATTGCCAGCTGTGTGGCTTGTATCACTAGTTCCCTTAGTTTTCCGCTCAGTTTATCACTTGTTCCCTATTACTGTTAAGGCAAATGTATCGTTCATCATCATAAGGCACGGTGTGCCATTATATGCCATACCGAGCTCGCAGTCTAATCACTTCAGCGCATTTAACCTCTCCCACCCACAAAGAGGGGAGCCACCTTCATGTAGTGGCTAGACGGTCGTCTGTGGATCTAAAGGTCATAGGTTCAAAATGTCGGACACTTATCAAGCATAATCTTGGCTCCTTTTTCGAACCTAGTCTTGAGTGGGTACCATGTAAAGTGCTGATGGGTCTATAATATACAGGTCTAGCCCTATATGCCCAGTACCCATGAAGTCGTGATAAAAAAGTCATGTATACCGTCTTTACTTATTATCATATCATAAAATTTGACCTGTGAGGGTAGTGGAAGTGTATCGATAGAAGCACTAGCACAAAAAACCAGGCATCTTTCTCTGTCTTCCGCTTGATGTATAAGTGTATGATAACTTAGTCCTGTCTATATCTTGGTTAATATAATTTTAATAAATTATTAATAGGTAATATAAAAGGGAACAAATTGATTAAAGGGCAAAAGAGAGATTGGCTGACCAAGTAACAAGAATTTTATTGTACCTACTGCCACAGACTGAGTAAGTATGAGCACAGACCACAGGCAAAATAAAAATTTAAAGAGACAATTGTAGATTCACATTCAAACTAATGTTCATCTGGTTTAAGTCTTTTGCTAATTTCCACCTCCAGGTAAACAATGAAGATCATCAAGGACGACGAGACAGGATGCATCGTCAACATCACAGATCCTGAGGGTCATTCTCACCTAGAAGCCTGCGGAAACGACCTGTCCGGTCAGCTCATTAACGATGAAACAGCCCACGTCTTAATGATGGTCCTGCAAGTTGCGGTCACTGGGACACTGGCCGTAGGAGGCATGGTCACTAACACCATCAATATCGTAGTCTTCATTAAAATGGGCCTAAACGACGCGGTCAACATAAGTCTTCTGGGACTCGCCGTCAGTGACATGTGTTCTCTCATCTTCTCCTTCTGGGAAGCGGTGTGCTTCAATCCTTGGTTTGAAGACGGGGCACCTGTCGTGTACACAGAAATCGAATACATTACGGGATGCTGGCCACATATTTGCTTTGTGCGAGTGGCCAGTTACATCACTGCCTTTGTCACTTTAGAAAGATGTCTCTGTATAGCCATGCCGCTTAAGGTCAAATCAATCATAACCAAAAATCGCACAAAAATAGTCATTGTCGCTATTTTTGTTATTGTATCGGTCACTTCCGCGCCGGAATATTACGTTAATCAAGTAGTGTGGAAATTCTACCCGGAAAAAAATCGCACAATGTTGGGGATTCTCTTCGTAGAGGATAGGGCCAAATACGAAAGCGTTACATTAATTATGAATAACATCATTATGCAACTCTTTGCCTTTGCCGCTGTCGTCACTTGCACTGTTATTCTAGTCATTGAGCTCAACAGGAAAGCGAAATGGAGAGCGCAGACAGCAAAGGGGGACACTACTTCAGCAAAAGATAAGAAAGTCATCAAAATGATTACTTTTATTTCGACCATATTCATCGGTAGTAACCTCCCCTGCTGTGTGATCTTTGTGGCTATGGCAGCCACTCCTAGGCTTCACCCGACAGGAGTTAACTACAACATGCTCTACGTGATTTGGGCAGTTGTTTATGTCATGGAAGGGATTAACTCCTCTGTGAATATTTTTGTGTATCTTAACATGAGTTCCAAGTACAGAGCAGTTTTCTACAAGGTATTTCTTGGTCGTGACATCGATGATGCTAAGGCTACACAAAAAGGCAAGGCTAAGGGAGCAGTCACCCATGATATCCCTGAAGACTTAATACCACTGGAGACACTCAACACTGCAAGCTAAAATGAGTCATTCATCATCAACAGAACATCGTTTTATTCACGGCACACCTGAAAGTCTTTCTCTAGTCAATTCTTCAGCTCTAGACGCTTTCATAGACAACGGTTATTGTCCACGGTTCATTTAGAGTTCATCTGCATTGCTCATTGGACATTACCATACGTGCTCCAAACTCCTCCGGAGTATGTCTGCAAGTGCTTTTAGGCTAATAACTCCCGTTCAGTTCTGGTTGATGTAACGACTGATGGCTCCCGCATGGGTTTTCTGTCTCGCTACTCCAGTTGGTATGAAGTCTTAGGTGAAAAGCCATTTTTCACGAATCTCAAAACCTCAGTGTTTAGTCTCTAGTCTAGCATTGATGATGTCTCTCCTGTCCATAGATGGCCCATTCCTAATAGTCGCAATGCTAGCCAGTGTGTCTGCTTTCTCATTGCCTTTCACACCAGCATAGTCTGGGGACAGAAATAAGGGTAATTTTGCGAAACGCCGCTTGCTGTATAAAATGGAGCCACTGTTTCCGTATATGCTCCGCCTTGATCTTGTGTAGTATTCTCATTGAATCGCTGAAAAAAGTATGCATTTGTGAATTTCTCACTTTTCAGCCATTGTAGGGGTTTTGTCATAGCATTGACATCAATGCTACTGGTGATAGAAGAAAAGGTTTCAATGTGTCTTAAATGTCTTGCATCCACCTTAATTCAGGCCTGCCTCAGCATTGTTTTGTGGAAACTACCCTTCTGTATCACCGTTCCCTTAAGGTGACCATTGAGTTAAACAAGATCAGAATTCATCAGCTTTCGGCACATGATGCTGTTTATGAGCCAATTCTCCTCGATGCTCCGATCACGTAGAATGTTGGTGTCTTCTTCTTGGTCCATTGTAGTCTAAGAATATTTCAGCCGCGTTTCAGGTTAGAAGCTCCGATTTATTCTTTTTCAGTGATCGAGTAAGATCACTTTACTCACCTCCTTAAGTTGCCATAGGGAATATTCATGATCTCAAGTGTTTTACTTGGACTCTCCTTTATGAGCTGTGCCATAATAAAACATTAACTGGGGGGAAAAGGGGGGGGGGGGGTGTCCAGAAAACACCGAAACACTGCTAACCTGTTCCTTTTGGCTTGTGTCCGATATATCATCTGAGGGTCAATAGGTTGACAAGTAGACCCGTTTGCGGGAACCGACCTGGCATAACAAGATTTAAATATATTTGAAAAACCGAAGAACTGTATTCATACTGTGAATGGTTTTTCAGAACATCCACATTTTTACTGGAATAACTGAAAAGACTTGTATTTGTAAAATGAATGGTTTTCTAAGAGAACTTACCTTATTAGATAGGACCACTTATTTACACCGTAATTTGTTAGACAATCTAGGTCCAATGTATACAATCTAAAAATGTGTTGTTAACTTCATTAAATGTTTAAACCAGTTTTGTTTATTTTGTGTTATTCACAGTTATATTGCTCATTTTGTCAATAAGTTACAGTTTATTTTGGTCTTTGAATCAATGACTAAATGCCGCATTTTTCATTTTACTGATTACTAATAAAAGAATTGACATAATAGCACACCGGTATACCCACAGATGCTCCGTCTCCCGTAGCAAATGTCTTAAAGTGTAAATGCAAACTGTTCCCGTAGTACCTGAACATACACACGTCGTTCTCTTCCTTTCATGTGTGCCTTCTTGCCGGATCCGCTACTATTATTCCCTGTACACACATTCTTACACATGTTATTCCATTTAATTTCGTAACGTTAATGCTGTTGGTGCTACAGCTGCTTTGTTCATTGTGTCAGGGGACTGTGTGGTCTCGAGGCATGGTGTCCGCCTCGAGTGCTAGAGGTGCCGGGCTTCAATCCCCGGTAGGTGCTGGGATTTTTTTCATGTAGTCTTGGACTTACTTATTCTCCCTGGTCTCTGGATAGTGAAATAGGACGCCCGTGTGCATTGTTTCGCACCTAAAAAATCTTTTGGCAGTTGGAAATCGAACAGAGTAGCCCAACGGCGCTGCCCGGGCAAAATTTGGAGTTAAAAGTCTACCCAAAGTATTTCAGTATCCTCACCGGTGCAACAAAGCCCGTGCACTGTACTGAGCTTCGTGGGACTCAGACTTGAGTTAGAAGAAGAACGGAGCACTTATGGGTTACTACCCTTGTGTCATGATGTTGACCGTTGTTCTAACCTCGAACCTCAAACCTGTTCATTGTGTCAGTGATTCGCGGTTGAACTGTTCATTTTGTCAATAGTTCACTGTTTACTGTGTCATAGACTCAGTGATTCATTGTTCACAATGTTATGATTTACGACTGCATTGCTCATTGTGTTAATGCAAGAAATCCAAAATATTTAGAATATGTACGCCCCGATAGTTGGATCAAATAAAATTGAACATACTTAGTGTATATGCAGTATACCATATCTAGACTAGTTTAGTTAGTTAGTTAATCGACAGATTATCCTCATTGCACATGAGAAAAGTCCATGAGCGCTAGGATCCCATCTTCAGTACACCCCTCAGCGTGTGACGACTGATTGTACCAGTTCTAGGTTGATTTACTAAATACATATCTAGACTGTGCGCACTCACCTATATGTAGTCTATATGCCGTCGCACATAGACTATGTACAGTCAACCTTATCTAGACAAAATGAAATATAATAAGTATACATTGTAAAACGGACAACACATTCAAACTATAAGAAACCCAAAATTTCAATATAATGTGAAATCCTACGAATCATGAACTTAAAAATTTTAAAAATACAGTAAAAAAATTAAAAATTTTTTTTTTTTTTGCATCAAATAAAATTGACTATACTTAGTGTCTATGTAGTCAAACATATCTAGACTGTGTGCGGTCACATACATTTATACAATATATATGCAGACACGCCCATCTAGACAATATGCCTTCAACTATAAATAGACTTTATGAAATCCAATTTACATATTCTATATAACAGACAAAAAATTTAGAATATATGAAAATCCAACATGTCAAACGTTTCAAATCCAACAAACTGACTTTTTAAAATTATAACCATACAGTGTATCTGAAACCGGTATAGTGACCACAAGAAACCAAACAAATCTACACCAAACTAATTTCAACAAATCTAATGAAATAAAAACTGGTGTGCGACACGTATTTCTTTTGTCGCCTCTCCTATTTTTACCGACAATAGACTGGGTTATGAAGTCAGCAAGTGTTAACACGACAAATTAAGTAGACCCCTAAAAAACAGTTTGATGATCTGGACTTCGCTGATGATACTTCTCTTCTGTCCAGCTCACGAAAGCAGATGCAAGGTACATAAAATATACTTGATGCGAGATCACAACAGATAGATCTAAAAAATCCATAAAAAGACAAAGCTAATAAATCAAGCAAAACATTAATGGGGTTTCTCTTAATGGTACCAAACTCCAAGACGTTTAGTCGTACACCTATTTGGGCAATAATGTAAATAATGATGGAGGGACTAACAGTGAAATTAAAATACGAATACAAAAATCAGTAGCATCTTTCAGAGCACTAGGAAATGTGTGGAGGTCAAAAGAAATAAAAAAAATTATGCTAAACTTAAAATTTTAATTCTTTTGTCAAATCAGTACTATTTTATAGAGCAGAAACGCTGAGAACAAATTATGCAGTTACTAATAAATATCATTGTTTAACTTGTGCCTGTGCAGAATAGAGTGAAAAATATGGTATGCTAGAATCACTAATGTAGAGCTTTGGGAGAGAAAACAGAACAATATAACTAGAATGTCGGGAACCCACAGGGGCATAGCAAGAAAGGGGAAAAACACAGAGAAGGGAGTTAGAGAGGAAAGTTAAAATGATGAGGATGAACATGGGAAGAGCTGCACGCGAAGGAAAAAAATAGAACGGCTAGGCGTAAATTGGATGAGGGTCTTTGCTTCAATGGGAGTTAGAAGAAAGAAGGAGTGTATGTACGATTAAAAAGAACTAGATTCAGCAGTCTGTGTCTCTGAAATTCTACACACATAGACTATATAATATTTTATACATCAAGACTATATGAAACCTAGTATATCTAAACTCTGTGAACTCGAACATGTATAGTCTATATTACATCATATAAATCTAGACCCAATGAAATTCAACATATTTGTTGTATTCGAAATCCACAACATCTTATTAATCTTTATGGAATAAAAAATTTTAATGGTTTAAATCTATCCAACAAGCAATCATCACATAAAATAAATTCAATATTTTGCTAAAATAATCGTCCGAAAATATCATTTGCTTGAAATGCCTACTGACAGAGAGGAGAACTTTAGCATTTTTTCTATAGCAATTAATGAATCAAGGGCTGCAGGAGTGACCAAAATAGATCAAATCGAAATGATGACATAAGAGAACAATCTGGCACAGAACCAGTTCTAAATTACATACAAAGACAGCAAATCAAATGGTCTGCCCTCTTAGAAAGAATATCTTGTGATGGTAATAAAACGCACAAGTTAGTTACGTATCCTTTACAGGACGTTGCAGAACCAACCCCACCATTTCATAGCTGTTGTGGTTATTCTAGGAAATTTTTACGTTCAGATGTTTTTTTTTAAATTTCTTTCCTAATGGTCAGATCTCTAAACCACTGTCGAAACCAGCGCAAGACGTTCTGCTGCCAAATCGCCTGCAGCTGGAATCGAACCCAGTACCCCCGTA